AAATTCTAATGTGTAGCAATCACGAAAACATAACCTTGATGTAATACAACATGTAGTTTGTAGGTATACAATACGGTATTAACATTTGCAAAAGTCGAAAACTCGATCCCATCACTAAACCTACGTATAAGGTGAAGCTTTTATATGGCACGTGACGTGATTTCGAATGATAAGGGTATTTAGGAATGTTTCGTGGAAAAAGTGAAAGGTTTTGCCCAAATGCACTCTAGAGGATTTCTTTTGATTTTCACTGGTTTACCGTAACTATTACACATTCTTTTTGCGAAATATTTGTTGGCCTATATTACTAACTATAGCCTAATCTCGGTTGTGGCATTGGCTGAGCGAACCCTTTTGCAAAGGTACATTACTCCATATTACATATTTATTCATAATTTGATCTAGCCGCTCACGCGATACGCTCCTCCTACCGCAAAATGGCGGCTATTTGGTTTCGCAAATTAGAAAAGCATTCAGTTTAAATACAAGTTTTTATAAATATAAATTATTATTCTGCATTGCTAAATAAATACCCATCGTATTACCAACAAAAACATCTCATATAAATTGCAATAATACACCGCAAATGCTGCACTTAAAAACACTAATGAAAGCACTAATTAAATGTTTTGTTGTACTTGGATAAATATGATAATATTCCGTTTGAGTGGTTCTAACGTTTACCATGAAATTACTCCTTAAAGTATAGTTTATAAACATTTATATTCAGGATAAACTTAAAAAACGCTACTTACGGTATGTTTTCAATAAATAAACACCGAAATCACCAGCCCAAACAATAACACACTCGATTGTCGTGACGTATGTTTGAAGTTGTTTATTTTGTTTAAATGACAAACCCAGGCATTAAAAACTTTATGGTTTGCTAGAGTAGTTACCGAAATAGCAATTAATATTAGTTCTTTTACCTGTTATAACTTCGATATCCGATAAATCGGTATAAAATCATCACCGGCACCTCTAGGTGTGGTATGCGTCTATGGCTGCATGTATCGCGTGAGCGGATATTTGAAGGCACTCGTGCCGCTAGTGGTTTTTTTTTTTTTCTCGCTAGGATATGTTAATAAAATACGGGATTTCTTAATTACTTCCCTCATTATTCCTAATTTTACAATCACTAACTGAAGGAAACAATAAAGGATGGCTATAATTAATTAAAATTCAAAATAACGTCCAACAAACACATGGGTGCGTGCGCACGTCACCACGACCCAAGGATAACAACCAGCTCAAGATGGCTGCCTCCCCAGAGCTTGGTGTTAGTTCTATTGACTACTAATTCTAGGTAGCACTAGAATCGTTTTAATAACGACCATGGATTAGATATGACGCTATGGATTAGATAGAATCTTCTGTTTTGCGAATGTTGAAAATAAATAATTAAAGCAATTGTGTTATGGAAATCAGAAACAATGACGGTACTACAAACTCCAGATCCGAGACAATAATACATAGAATAATAGATAGAGAGAAGATATTTTAAGTGTACCAATTTAAATATCTTGGCCATTACCAACGACCTTGATGACCAGGTCGATAGAACCGAGGGTACGTAGGGCACTGGCGATTGGAAGTAAAATTCTGGCACGCAGATGTAGTAAATAAGTAAACATTACACTTTTCAAAGCCTACTGCCAATCGTTCTACACACGGAACAATAAATAAATAACGCACACACTCAACAAAGCCCCGCACTAGGGAAACCCTGTGTCGCGGGTGCCATGGACACACACATAGACAACCACAAATTACACCCAAACTCACGAGAGAAATAATTGTAGGCCAAACAACTATTTCTCCCGGCCGGGGAATCGAACCTGGGACCTCTGCGTGGCAGTCCGGCATGGTAACCGTTCGGCCACAGAGGCAGTTAAATACAGTAGAAGTGGTTAGTTAGCGTCTGACGCGTGCCAACTATAGGTCTCGAAAGACCTATCTGAGCTCAGTCCGCCATTTTTGCTTTGTATGGTATGGTTGTGTCATTCTCTCGTGCAAATTTTCTAAAATCCTAGAAAAATGCCTTATTGTGCTGTTTTGAACCGTACAGAAATGGTAGCAACACCAAAAATATGACCCGTGGCAGTATTACATATCATCGGAAAGCCTTACTTTAATAAATTTTCTGTTTATCGAAATATTTTTTTTGTTATAAGAAACTCTTCTCACTTAGCTTCTTTTTTGGAGAACTAAATAACTCCAATTCGTCGTCGTTCAGCAATAAAACCGCTAGATGGCACACATTGATTGAACTGTCAATTTAATATCAAAACGTCGTAACTTGTAATAATAGGTATTGGTGGTAATAGAACTTTCAACGATATGCCAACAGGGTAAAGTTTAAATTATATTAATAATCCAGAATTTGTTATTTTACTTTCAATTTGAAATTGACCAGTCAATGTCAAGATTTTGTAGTGCTTCAAGTTAAGAATGTGTGAGTTTTGGCGACATCGGTTCTGGGGGTCTACTCTCGATCTTCGTCCGACATCCGTCCGAAACAATTACTGTCAAATAAGTAATATTCGACAAAATTAAAAGACAAGTCAATTACTAATAATACCTCTTTATAATAATATATACGGTAAAAATCGACTGAGTTATCAGATACCTAAAATAATTAATTCACTACCACCAGAAATAAAAATTAACCTTACAACTAACAGCATAAAAACAAATCTTAAATCAAAGTCAAAGTCAAAGATTATTTATTCCATAGGTAAAATAAATTTACACTTGAAAACGTCACATTTAAGGTACTGCAAGTTCACTATGCTGACCTCCCTGAGAAGAACGAGCAAGAAACTCTAGGGATTGCTCTTTTCAAATAAACTTAAATGCTATGGAATACACTTTGAATCAAATTTGTGTGGATTCTGGAGCCATGTCGTCTTTCCATACATCTTTATCTAACACGTAGTCTTCAATTTTGTAATATGATTTTTCGATCAAAACATTTTTAATGTAGTTTTTAAACTTAGGAAATGATAAACTCAATATATGCTCCGGAATCTTATTGTAAAAACGTATACAGTTCCCCATAAAAGAGTTGTTTACCTTGGTTAAACGAAATCGTGGTACCATGAGTTTGGACTTAGCTCTAAGGTTAATATTATGGATATCTTCTTTCTTATTGAAATGATGTATATTTTTACGGGTATATAAAATATTTGAGTAAATGTACTGTGATGCCACAGTCATGATACCAGTATCATCACCAGTACCATCATATTTATTAAATAAACTCTGAACGTCCTATATACGTGAGTGACTGTTTTTATTGTAACACCACTCCGAGGGTATTTATCTGTTTCGCTATAACTTATTATTTTCGTTCACAGGTCATTTAATCGAGTAGTGGTTGTTTTTATGGTAGTGGGTAAGCGTACGTAGGCAAATGCGTTAGCCAGTTTTGTTACGAGCTCACGTCAATGAATCGCGGTGTACAGATAAACCTATTCAGGTTTTTGTTGTACCGCTAAGTTTTAATTTATAAGTTTTCTTTTTGTAAAAAATCTTTTTAATAAAAAAAAAAAGTATCAAGTACGAAGCTTATTACTCAAGTATTGCTTATTTGGCAGTAATTTTTTCGGACGTATGTCGGACTTGGAGATCGAGAGTAGACTCCCTGATTAGTCATCGAGGCCTAAAGCACTTCCATTGTTTTTTTTCTTCCGTGGTTCTACACGAGCAGCCTGTGGTTTAGTTATATTAAAAAATCACTTACTGCCATTGACTTACAATTATATGGACGTCGGGTCCGCGCTAAAAAGTGTCCGAACTTATAGGGCGTTAAAATCGTATATAGAGCGTCATTCACGCTTTAGTCTTCGTTTGTTCGACTGACAGCGAAGCAAGCAAAATTAGATAGTACTGCGATGACATTACAATTTAAATTCAACGTTTTAGCTTTTTCATAATTATTCATATTTACATGTCACTACGTTTAAATAGGTTGACTTGGGACATTTTTTTCGTGGTTTTTGTATATACCCGTCGTCCATTTATTTGTAAGTCAATGCTTAGTGCCCTATAAGCCGCATACAATATTGGGCTTAGAATGTTGATGGACTTGCCCTACTTTTGCAGTGCATCTACCATGTTTGCAGAGGCGCGGGTTATATTGTATAGCCATTATCCGCAAAAAGACAGCCTCATTGCTCAGCAGACTGAGGGGCGGCACCAACACCATTTTACAGGTCATACCTGATAGATATGACGTACACATTATGAATTTTTTCTTTCGCGTCCTGATTGAATAGTCTCACAAGAGACTATTGGGTCTGGAGGCGGGTGAGAGATCTGAGAGTCGGCTGCTACTTTTAATAATTTAATTTTTGTGCAACTATTTATTTACTATTACCACTTACTTAGTCTAAGTTATATTTGTAAACTATTGGATCTTAAAAAATAAAAGTGTTGTCTGAATAAATAAATAAATAACTATTAATAACAGAAAAGTTAGTTTCTACATTGACCTGGCCGGGAGTCGAACGGACCCGGGAACTCAGAGATTGTAACGCAATGAAAACGCAAGCCACGCGACCACGGAGGTTGTCAAAGAAGATAGATAAAAGATATAGATTATTTGAATGAAAAAACCTCTCGGTGTCCCAACGGTTTGCAATATGGCCGCTTGATGTAGTGTAGAGAGTTCATGGGTCCAATGAAAACTGGTGTGTAAACTACTAGCCTATGGCGTTCGCCATGTTTTTGCTTTTTGTTTTCCTTTTTGTGTACGTACTTTTGTGGTGTGAGGTTGCAATAAATATTTTCTATTCAATTCTGTTCTTACTAAACATTACTAGAAAAAAAATTAAATTTAAAAATTTAAAATAATTTATTCGATCACCACAAAATATAAAAGTAGATAAAAGTACAAAATTGCATATACCCTGTATATTTAAAAAAAATATATTTGGTACACATGAAAACATTAAAAATAATGAAAATGAAAAGGATTAATTCGTTATATAAATATTTTTAGGGAAATTAAAAATATAAGTATTTATTATTCAGAAAGAAAGATATAGGTGTTGCATACGCTTAAGTAGTATAACCAGGCTGAAAGAAAAAAGATCTTTGTTAATACATCGCTGTATATTTAGAGGGTTTAGAAAATAGTTAACATATTTTTCTTATTCTGTCCAAAATCCTGTATTCACTAGGGGATTAAATTACCATATGTCGCGCGACATGTGTCGCCAGCGTATGGTGTAGTCACCGGATTAGCGTTGTAAAAAACCGTTTTTTTCTGATATGAAAAAAAAATACCGTTTCTTTCTAGAGTACGTTTTTTATATGACAATATTATATATTTTTTTACATTTACTCTTTTGTTATTTTATTATTCTTCATACATTGCTCTAAGAGTCGTATTCTAGAACTCTACTCAATACTCAAGTCAGGACTTGAGTATTGCAGTGACCACTGAAAATCATACTCAAATCCTTGCCATTAGGGTCGTATTTCCGGTGCTTGAAATCGTACTCAAGTCTGCTCAAATACTGGCTTGAGCATTGAGTAGAGTCCTGGAATACGACCCTAAATAAGTGGGCAACACTCCCTGACGTATGTATATCTATGAACGGAAATTCCCCAATAAAATAATAAGAGAAGCGGGAAAAATTGTTTTGTTGGATCAAATGGTGTAGTATTTACTACTAATCACCGGTCCTACAAAAAATATACCACTACTTATATATTTCGCCCGATCATACAGTCACTTAACTTATTATGAATTGCTATCAATTCATATAATTGACATTGTTCTATGGAAGTGCGTAAAATGGTCCAAACAATAGGAATTTCTTTTATGTCAAACAGCAGAGTCGTAAGAAGTTACTCGAGAGCAACATTTTACAATTCATTTCGTTATATTATTTAGAAAATTAATTAAAAATTGCCGATTTAGGACTACATGAAAACTTTTTAGACTGCGCATGAGTCATGGAACGACTACATATATAGCGGCGCAGGAGTGCTACTCTTCGAATAATTCAACTTGCGTTCGCATTCCCGGACTCCGAATTTAGCGGGTTTTATAGGCTAAATAAAAGTTGGTGTCGTGAACCATATAGGAATATGGGCCTTATTTGCCCGCGCGAGAGGTGGAAAAAGTATAACTACCAAGGTAAGTGAAAGAATCATTACCACCATAAGGTATATTAACTACACTCATGTAATTTCCATTTATAATTAACTGTTTTGAATAAGGTACTTATTAAGTGCATTGAGTTTTTAAGCATCTGGGTTTATTGGAGCTAGTGTAGGTATATCACAAAATGCACCAAATACGTATCTCCAAATGCATGAGAACCGTAACAGTGGCCTTCAACAATGACCATTTTAAGAGAAAGTACATCGTAGTGTTATATCATATTATAAAGCACTGGGCAATTTCTTTCGCACTCAATTAATTTTTCATCATCCATTTTTAAAAAAAGAACGTAGTCACTCTCTTTAAAGTCGCACAGTCGGACGGGGCGCGTACGACGCAATGGAGAGTGTTCACATTACAACGAGCCGAGGCTGGCCGGGCCGCATCCTAGACTCTCGACGAGCTGGGAAACAGTTTGGGCGTCTCTCGTTCTTGCTACAGACGCGGCATATTGTAATGTGAATCACTTTATATAAAATGTACGCAGCATTTCCCATCCAAGCCTCGTACGTGGCTCGGCTCGTGCCCGGCACGGTCTAATGTGAATAGACCTTAATTGTATTGTTGTACTTACCGGGTAAATTGTACTTACAAAGTAAATATAAGATTGACGTAGCAAGAAATATGCTTCGAGAAGCCCAATCCATGTCACTCAGTAAGCACATTTTGGATTCAAATATGCATTCGATAGTGGTTGCCAGGCATACACACAAGCCTATAACCATGGCAAATAGAAGGCAACCAAGTGCGAGGTTCATATTACACGGACTGTTCTGTAATAGCAGTTTAGTGTAAGCAGCAGTAGAGCTACTCCTTGTGATAGTTCGTCCAGGGAAGTACCGTCACCTCACCTATTTCTGCCGCCAGGCAGTAATGTGAGCATTTGGGGAAATTCGACGGATGAAAATAAATTATTTATTAGCACAAAAATAGTTATTTTTTAATCGACTTCACGAACCGATTTTCATGATTCTTTTTTTGTTGGAAAGGGGGTATTTCCATAGTGGTCCCATTTCATTTTGAAGAAAATAATCCACCTCAAAGGGTGGCTGTTCACGCATGAAGATTCATATTTATAAATAGCGCCTAACTTTAATTTAGGAGCAATTACTTTTAGCAATTATTTAGTTGATTTTGCTATTTCTCCAATTCAAGGCGTTTTTCTCTCGATATACTTTGAGTAGTGTCGTAGTGAGAACCTATTTTTATTATCTCCAGCGTCAAGTCCCGTATAGTGGCGAACTAGGGGATATTTCAATGAAACTTAGCAAACAGACGTAATTCCACGTACTTTTGAGGTCGGTTTTTTTTGTACTCTGTACTGAGATTATTGATACAAGTGTTTGAAAAGTGAAAATGACAAATCGTGACGTGTGTCAAACGACGTTATTTAATACATTTGCGAAAAAAAAATTTAGAAGTAAAATAAAACAGTATCTAAAAAAATTCAGAGTACAAAGGCAACTGTTGCCAGTATTCAGCCACATTAAAATCACAATTTTAGTGACGCGGCGCGCAGCGGTCTCGCGTAATACTCACCTTCGGTCATTGTTAATACTCAGTCAGCCATTTATGGAAAATATTTTGGTATTTTTAAATGTAATCCGTTGTTTTATAAAACACCTATGCAATTTAAACAAATAAGACGTTTGTAAGCATTGACTTACAATTATATGGACGTCGGGTCCGCGCTAAAAAGTGTCCGCACTTGTAAGGCGCTAAAATCGTATACAGAGCGCGACAGTCTTCATTTGTTCTACTGACAGCGCGATACTGCGATGACATTACAATTTAAATTTCGAATAGGTTGACTTGGGACATTTTTTTCGTGGTTTTTGTATTAGACCCGTCGTCCATTTATTTGTAAGTCAATGTTTGTAAGTAAATACAACTTTTAATGACGGACGACTTACGTCACAAAGCACATAAATATTAAATAAATATACAATCTCTTTAGTTCTATGTTTAAGACTTGAAACAACAGTAAATTAAAAAAAATGGAAAATTAAAAAGCACTAGTGCGAAAATTCAACTTTCGGCACGATTTGTAGTACGAAAAATGCCACGCTTTGAGCAACTGTAAATAATTAATTGAGGTAATGGTGTGTAACCAAAGTATGACAGCACATCTACACACTTTAGTTCGAATATCGCCTCCAGAAGAACAGGATAAGATCCGTCAATGTATACGTTGAATTTAGTATGTGCCTTGTAGCCAGGCGTATAGAACTTTTTTCTAAAAAATACCAAGTGACAAGCAAGCTGTACGCCTGTTGGTACGCGCATTTCTGTCCATAACAGTTGCAGCGTCACACAGAGCTTTAAATCACAAAAATCTTCACTGCGCCCGTCACCCTGAGACATAACAAGTCCCATGTGCCGGGAAGGCAGAATCCGGGTTGCCGCCGCGCAGCGACCGCGTGCATCTAACTGTCATAGCAAAAAAACCGACCTCAAAAGTACGTAGAATTACATCTACTTATCAAGTTTTACTGCAATCGGTTACCGGAAAGTTTGCAGACCCGGATTCATCCCCTAGTTCGCCACTATACGGAACTTGACACAGGAGATAATAAAAATCGGTTCTCACTACTCAAAGTATATTGAGAGAGAAAAACGCCTTGAATTGGAGAATAGCAAAATCAACCGTTGAAATAATTGCTCCTTATCTTAAAATTTAGACGCTGTTTATAAAAATGAATCTTCATGCGGGAACAGCCACCACATTAGTGGTGGACGATTTTCTTCAAAATTAAATGGGGTCACTATGGAGGTAACCTCTTTCCAACAAAAAAGAATCAACAAAATCGGTTCACAAATACCGGAGTTATCGCGTAACATTCATACAAAAAAAAAACTGTCGAATTGAGATCCTCCTCCTTTTTTGAAGCCGGTTAAAAATACGCTCTGATTTGTTTGCACGTTTTAACGTAAATGAGCGTCCTGGGCACGCGGGCGAATCTGGCTTGAATTCGGTCCGCGCGGCGGCCGGTTCTATTATTCAGAGGATGTTGTTGCCTAGTAAATAGAATTCAGATCACCCATTAATGTACATGAAGGCGTGGTAACTTTCTTAACTCTTTCTTAACTAAACTTATGCGGTTCACTCTCTTAGGTTAGAACGTATTCAGAAAAGGTTCTTATGGCATCTTAGTTATTTACGAGGTTTGGGTAAAAAGAGTGTCTCGTACGACACCCGTCTCAAGTTTTTCAAAATATCTCCTTTATCTTTGCGACGTGAAATGCTTGATCTAGTATTCTTATATAAGCTAATTAACAATAAAATTAATAGTCCGCAACTTCTCTCTAAAATACAGTTTAAAATACCCTCTCGTCTACCAAGGTATCACGTAAATCTTTTTCATCCCCCATTGCGCAAAAGTATCCTCGGTTCAAATTCTCCGTTTGCTCGATTTGCCAGACTCGTCAATGCTCTACCTCTTGAAATGGATATCTTCGCAGTCTCATTGCCTCGCTTCAGGAAGTCAATATTGCAGTTTTTGGCATATGAGTGAATATTATTTGTAATGTATATTATATTTATTTTATAATATAATATTAAAACTTAAATTGTTAATACAGTAAACATATGTAATATAAGTACAGTAAAAAAAAAACAACAGTAAATTAATAATAACTGTCTTAACTTTCATACTCTCATCATGGCATGTTCACCTGTAATTGGTTAAGCATTTTAACTGTAACACCCTTTCGAATGTGTGTAAAATATTGTTGTAACCGAATGTATTAAGCGTTGGTGAATTTAAATAAATAAATAAATAAATAAATAAATAAACTTTCGCCTTGTGTAACTGGGCGCGTATCCTTCAAAACCGGAATGCCGCGGTAATGCTGAAATTACTGCTTGGCGGCAGAAACAGGTGAGGTGACAGTACTTCCTTGGACGAACTCTTTCACAAGGAGCTCTAATACGATAATAGTACTTACCAGAACTGTTGCATAAAAACACAATACTCCACCAATCATAAATAGAGATCCAGAAATAAAAAGTGCGTGAGGCACCCATCCGTTTAACATTCTCGCTGCATAGTCTTTATCTGTTGAAATAAGAATACGGTAAAAAATATAGTATATTCTCATTATCAATATCTACAGCCCGGATTCACTCAATACTAAGTATAGGCCTCCCGTAGTTTTCTCTAGAGATCATCAAATTTTTCGGTGAAAAGTACGAGATTATTGTGAATATTATGGCGCATTTACACCGGGTAACATGCCGCCTTCGGCAGATATTTATATAGTATAGCGCAGTATATATATATAGTAGCAGATAGTATAGCGGCTAATATTTCACGCCTGGACAGCTCCTAACTCTGTACAAAGGACAAGTCTGATCTTGCATGGAGTATTGCACACACCTGTGGGATAAAAAATATACATAATTTCAATAAGAAAGAAGATATCCGTAATATTAACCTTAGAGCTAAATCTAAACTCATGGTACCACGATTTCGTTTAACGAAGGTTAACAACTCTTTTATGGGGAACTGTATACTTTTTTACAATAAGATTCCGGAGCATATATTAAGTTTATCATTTCCTAAGTTTCAAAACTACATTAAAAATATTTTGATTGAAAAGTCATATTACAAAATTGAAGACTACGTGTTAGATAAAGATGTATGGAAAGACGACATGGCCCCAGAATCCATACAAATTTGATACAAAGTGTATTCCATAGCATTTAAATTTATTTGAAAAGAGCAATCCCTAGAGTTTCTTGCTCGTTCTTCTCAGGGAGGTCAGCGTAGTGAACGAGCAGTAGCTTAAATGTGACGTTTTCAAGTGTAAATTTATTTTACCTATGGAATAAATACTCTTTGACTTTGACTTTGACTTTGGATAGAGGCTCTCGATTCGATTGCATGCAGAGTCAGGTCGCTAATATTAATTTATTGGCGACGATAAGCTCGAATCTTAACTTCATAGTTTAGCCCACCGGTGCAAATTTGCTTGTCTGTCGGTTTTCTATAGAATATATTTCGGTTAGTGTACGTTCGATTTTCCCTTCAGGCGTACAGGTAAGCGCATTTCGTCATCTTTTATTATGCGCACAGCCCAGGAATGGAATTCCCCGCCTGCGACTGTGTTTCCGAGCACACACAACCCGAGTATCTTTAAGTGACTGAATAGGTATCTTCTGGCCGAGCTCGTTCCATCGTAGAACCGTGGTGTGGTAGAACCCAACTTTGCTCTAGAGTAGGGGTCAAGAGCAAGCCCATTAAATGAAAAAAAATTTGCTCGATATTTATAAAATTTATTGGAACAATAAAATGCTACCGCTAGCAATGTCGTGACATGTGTTTGTATCAGAGACGTGTCAAATGTTAATCTCAAAAAAGTTACAAACCAAAATTATTTTTTCTTTATTTAGTTTTCGCACTGTTTGTAAATTTTAGTCAGAAAAACAAGACAAAATTATGAATCAAAATGAATAATTATCGGATAATTATCAGGAACATTAATATCTTTATCATTTCGAACCCTAGTCAGGGATCCGTCACTGGTTCAAGGTAACGTGATAACGCTGAGTGTACCGACGTCGGTACAAGCACTCATACAAATCTTTCATTTATGAGCATTCGGCTCCGCACGACTGCACATGGCGGGCAACGTTATTTTTTTTAGACTGCATTACTGCACGAAGTCCGAAGAGATAGTTCAGTACATCAGCCTAAAGCCAAATACACCCTGAGGGTCGGGCAGTGGGAATCCTGCCATAACGTGAATTTTAATGACATTAAGAAGGAGTTTTGGCCGAAGGGTGTCATATATCGGCGATTCTGCGGCCGGTCACCTGACACGAGATTGCGCCACACACACACGTCGCCGACAGGTGCAACATGTATTTTGGGATAATTAATAAATTCTCTGTATCATCGTAGGACATCTTTTGATGGAATTCTTGGAGAATTTTCTTAACCTTTATGTAACAAAAATGATATATGGCCGGCCAGTTTGGCGGTTAATTTATTGTACAAAATTGGTCCAAGAAACATAAAAAATCTGGAAATAAACACATGTTTTGATGATACAA